TCTAAAGCACTATGGGACAGTATATAAATCTAAATGCTATTGCTATTGCTAAAGGTGTGAGCACCAGAGAAGCTGAGGATTTGATAGAGGAAATATATATCTACAAAATAAGGCTAGACAGTTAAATTATGCTAATAATTTCAGCAGTATTTCCTGTTATCAATTCTATCTAATGTTTAATAATTTACCTTAAATGTAAAGAATCATAATATTAGCATTCATGAGTGAAACAATCTTCTACAATGGTGTACAGCCAAAAAGAGAATGCCATAGTAATGTCAAGGACAAAATGTTTCACTGGAACAAATCTAGGTTTACTTACTTCTCAGTCAAAAAGTTCCCCTAGTAAGCTTGAGAAGCAACTGTCTTTTACTTAATGCAAAGGTGAATAACCTTTTTTGGCAGCCAGGAACTACACTCTTTTAAAAAAATCAATAAATACACACACAAACATAAATTGATTTTTTGGGAGTTGAAAACTATCCTTCTCCCAGGAAAAGGAAAAGCTCCAAGATCTAAAATTCTCAATTTGCAGGATGATTCCAAAACTATAATTGCATTATATCAGATAAATCCAATTCTGTTGGACTTCACCAAACTGTGCAAAACAATGTACAAACTTTGGAGATTTCCATAACTATTCTTTAATATTGCCAACTTTAAAAGGGGAATAAGCAAAAGTCTAAAAATATTAAACAGATTTTTCAGCCATCTGTTTGCAGTTCAAAAAACATCTAAAATGGCACTTGGAGTTGGGATATTTTTTCATAAATTGACACAGCTGTAACTGCTTTTTGTGTACTTTGAGAAATAGGTGTGTAAAATAGTTCTTGCTCCCACACAATTTGCCTGTATTGATGGGAAATAATTTCCTAATAAAAATCTCAAACTACAAATACTTGCCATTTTTATTTTCTAAGCATATCTGTCTGTGAAGTTCAAAATTATTCTGGGGAGAGATGAGCGTATTCCTGAGATTGCCTACTTCTGTGGAATAATAAATTTCAGATTAGTTCTTTCTTTGTTAATTAATGACTTATGCATTACTCCAGGGGTCTCGAACCTTGGCAACTTTACGACTTGTGGACTTCAACTCCCAGAATTCCTCAGCCAGCCAGTTGAAGTCCACAAGTCATAAAGTTGTCAAGGTTGGAGACCCCTGCATTACTCCATCCTTCCTCAACTTTATGTCCTCTGGGACTAAAACTTCCAGAATTCCTAGACAACATGTTCAAATGCTAATGGACACCAGAGCATCCCATCACTAAGCAATAGCAGAAATTGAGCTGATACAAGTTTCCAATCCTGCACACACATACTTTATATTCTTGGCAAATTGGTTGAATGAGGACATTGTGAAGGTCCTAAAAGTAATCTTTTTCTTCAGATTAATTCCAAATTGGCAAGACGTCAATGCCAAGCAGTTCAGTGATTTCATTGGAAGTTCCCAGAGGCAGACCCACATCAGGGCACTAGTGTCCTCTTGTTGAAATTGTATGGCACAACTCAGGCATCAGGGAACTATGGTGTTTGAAGTTCCCATTATATCAGGGGTCTTCAAACTTGGCCCTTTTATGACTTGTGGACTTCAACTCCCAGAATTCAGCAGCCAGCGTGCCTGGCTGAGGAATTCTGGGAGTTGAAGTCTACAAGTCATAAAAGGGCCAAGTTTGAAGACCCCTGAATTAGATGATATTATAACACTGTGGGAAGAGAGGTGAAGGAGCTCGCTGTCTATATCAGGGGTGTCAAACTGCTGGCCTGCGGGCCAAACGCATCACGAGGAAATGCGTCACGAGGATAAAAGAAGATTAAAACCATAGATCCAGTCTATGTCACTCTTTTTCAGAAAAGTAATGCAACCCTAAATTATGTGATCAGTTACCCCCTCCAAATATACTGAAATGGCATTGTATATAATAACAACTACAAGGATTTTATACACTTTTTATTGGAAAAGATCTCTAATCCCCTGTATAGAAAGATAATTAAACTGTGAGGATGTTTCAACGCCTAGAGCTACTGGATATCTAAAAGGTTACTATTCAGTCTTCTTTGGAAACCATTTTTGCACTATGATTTTTTGCATAGAAATGTGCTATAATACTTCTCAAATTTGGATTCTAGAATTTATTCATTTAATTTAATATATAGCATTAGCAATAGCACTTAGATCTTGATACCACTTCATAGTGCTTTATAGCTCTAAGTGATTTACAGAATCAGCATATTGCTGTCAGTGATCGGGGTCCTCATTTTACTGATCTTAGAAGGATGGAAGGCTTAGTCAACCTTGAGCCTGTCAGGATTGAACTCCTGGCAGTGAGCAGAGTTTGCCTGCAATACTGCATTCCAACTATTGCACCACCACAGCTCCTAACATAGTCTACACCAGAGTTCCCCAATGTTTCCGGCTTTGCAGAATGGGGGGGGGAGAGAGGGATGGTTCTGTGTGAGCAGCCAGTAAGAGCATGAACACACAACTCCATTTGTGCAAGGGCATGCCCGCGTGCCCACCGCTCACACAAATGGAGCATGCGTGCACACGCTCATCTGCTTGTGCAAGTGGGGATGTGTGCATGCATGCTCACCCCGTTTCCATGGCCCAGTTGCAAATAGCTCATGGCCCGCTAATGGGCCACAGCCCAGAGGTTGCTTATTATTTAAAGTTTTTCAGCTGTACAATAGGGACATGTCTTGACTAGAATTTGGTATGAAATATACTCTAAATTGTTAATGGTGTATTAGAATATAGTGGTCATTTTATATTTTAGATCTACTGATTATTTTAAGCTTGTTAGTTATCCATCTGTATTTGATAGCTTCTTTGGTTTCTTTTTTTTCCTTCTTGCTAATTTTTCTATATGCTTTTAAATGTGTATTTGTATCAATATTATTTATTTTTTATTTTTTATTTGCCGGAGGAGTTTGGGTTGACTGTGCAGTTGTGGACACGTGTATATGGGATTTTTGTGTGTGAGGCCTCTACTCAAGGAATTAGAATTGGAACATCTTTATTTGTTTCATCAGGAGAAAACAAAATGGAATATAGTTAGAATCAAGCTGAAATGTAATCAAACTGAAAATCAGGGTCCCCAACTTAAAGTCTTTCCTGTTAGTGGTCGATTCATCTATTAAAAAATATAAATGCACATTATGCTAAAAGTTTATCTGTTTTCAAAAAAACCCCAACCAAATCCACCCACCTGTTGTACCTAATACACATAGTCCTCGACTTAACAACAGTTCATTTAGTGACAGTTCAAAGTTACAACAGCACTGAAGAAAGTGACTTATGACTGTTTTTCACACTTACGACCATTGTAGCATTCCCATGGTTACATGATCAAAATTCAGGTGCTTGGCAACTGACTCATATTTATGACAGTTGCAGCAACCCAGGGTCCAGTGATCACCTTCTGTGATCTTCTGACAAGCCAGATTCACTTAACAGTTGCAGTGATTCATTTAACAACTGTAGCAAGAAAAGTCCTAAAATGGGGCCAAATTCACTTAACAAACATCTTACTTAGCAACAGAAATTTTGGGCTCATTTGTGGTCGTAAGTTGAGGACTGCCTGTATATGAACGGTTTGAGACCCTATGTTTCTTTTTAATGCTAAAACACTGCCAATAACTGGATGCTTCGGGTGAGACCATGCATTGTCATTGTTTTTCTGTTGTTATTATTTTTAGACGAGAAATCCTTCAGCATGTGGACGTGATCAAAAACTTTTCTTTAACAAAGAACATGGTACGGATCGGACAGCTGATGCATTATGATTATTCCAGCCATAAGTACGTCTTCTCCATTAGCAATAGCTTCCGCTTGTTGCTTCCGGATGTCTCGCCGATTCAGAACAAGCACTACAACATTTGCGCTGTTGTGGGAAACAGTGGAATTCTTCTCGGCAGTCAGTGCGGGCAGGAAATAGACAAATACGATTTTGTTTTCCGTTGCAATTTTGCACCCACCGAAGCATTCCAGAAAGATGTTGGAAAGAAAACCAACATCACCACTTTTAACCCGAGCATTTTGGAGAAGTATTACAACAATCTTTTGACCATTCAAGATCGCAATAACTTTTTTCTAAGCTTGAAGAAGCTGGATGGAGCTATTCTCTGGATTCCAGCTTTTTTCTTCCATACTTCAGCCACTATTACCAGAACTTTGGTAGACTTCTTTATTGAGCATCGAGGACAATTAAAAGTCCAGTTGGCTTGGCCAGGAAATATAATGCAACATGTTAACAGGTGCGATTTGCTGCTGTGCATCATTAACCTTTTGGTGCTTAGATAATTTTCGGTGTAACCAAAGGATATTCAAATTATGGCAGTTGTAAGGAGGATGGATAGTTTGTGAACCCAGGTAGCATTTTGCTTACATTGCCAACATGAAAAACTAAGAAGGATCTGAACAGATTGGAGAAGAAACAACTACTATAAATGACCCTCAAAAGATAGAATAGACTAGTAAATTTTAAAAATTGCAGAAAAAGCCAGTGGCATCTGACTTGCTGCCTTATTATGTTTATTGGATTCATTCTGTGCTTCTTCATATAAAAAGAGCCTCTGAGGCACCTTATAGAAAGTGTCACGCAAGAAGGAACTAATTAAAAAATTAAATGCTTAGTTAATACATCCAACAATAAAGAAAACCATGAAGAAGCGTTAAAAAAAATCAATTAATTTGATACCTCTGCTTTCCAAATAGGAAAGACTAGAAAGCAAGGAAATTCCCAAAGCTCATCCCAGTGCAGTACAGAGGTGAAAATCTTGATTTGTTCAGATAGCTTATCGGCTAATAAATAAGGGGGGAATCCACTGTGTTATGAATGAAGATGATCATCATCATCCATGATCATCCATGATGATCAACAAAGATGATAACTACTATAGTCCCAAAAGTGCTTTTTTTCCAAAAGGCAACTGGACTTTGTTGTTTTAATGTTTCATTTTTCATCCAAGAAGCTTCTTCAGTTCAATAACACTGAAATAATTTTAATATTTAGCATTTCTATTGAAAACAAAAAGTATATAAAGATGTCTAACAAGATCAAGCAAAAAAATAAAAATAAACTATAAAAAACAAAAAAAGTTCATAACATAACATAACATAACATTTCCACCGTGACTATCTTGATAACATAATTGAAAATATGTTACATTCATATTATTAAATAATAATTTAATTGTTGTTTAATCTTAACACTTTTAATGTTTTTATATCTATGTTTTTATACTATTGCAAGCCACCCAGTCACACAGGACAGTGAGACAGCTAGCATATAAATTTAATAAAAAACTAAAAGCTAGAAGCTAGGAGATAGGTGGATATTTCTGTAGAGGAACTTTGAGAATTGCCACCACCGAAAAGGCCCTGCTCTGCCAAAGCATCCAAGAACCTCAGGAAAAATATGAATGTGAAATAGGATTTCCCCAAAATAATGATACTGTATGGATTCTTATTTTGCAGGTACTGGAAAAACAAGCATTTGGCCCCCAAGCGACTCAGCACAGGTATCTTGATGTACACCCTTGCATCCGCGATTTGTGATGAAATCCACCTGTACGGGTTTTGGCCCTTTGGCTTCAACCCAAACAACAGAGAGGATCTTCCCTACCACTATTTTGACAAGAAAGGAACCAAGTTTACTACAAAATGGCAAGAATCCCATCAGCTGCCTGCCGAATTCCAGCAGCTCTTTCGAATGCATGGTGAAGGACTTGCAAAACTGACTTTATCCCACTGTGCCTAAGGATTTCATACTTGAAGTGCCAAAAGATTGTTGCTGTTGTTTTTTAAAGGGGGGGGAAGTGCCCCCACTGAATTTGCAATTTTTCAAAGCAGAATTCTAAAAGGAAAGGCATTGGTGGGAATAAGGTGGGGAAGTGTTTAATTCTGGAGAGGTCTCCCGTTTATTATTACCCGTTTTCAAAGCCTAGGAGAGTGGCTTTGCCAATTTTGCAAGACAGAAGTATTTCTTATCTTTCTGAAGTAGGAAAATCCAGGCTGTTTATAGCAGAAAAGTTTTGAATGTCTTAGCTATGCTGCCAAGAATATTAAAATATTTTCATAGTCATATATTTTTCACATTCTGGAAAGGAAAAAAAAGGGTGAACATTATCAATGGTTAGAACTTCTGTGTTTGCTTATTCAGACTAGCTTATTGTTGTTTCTGGATTTCTTTGGGGAAGGGGTGAATTTATGCTATTGCTATTCATAGTGGAACATGCCTGTGTTAATTCATGAGAATTTTTCCTGAAGTTTGGACTGAATGATGGTTTAGGGCAGTATGAATAGGCTGTAGGTCTATTAAGATCACTGAGAATGTCTCCTGATTAAGAGACGATTGAATTGTTCCCCAAGTCTAGTTTTTCTCTTTGAAGATCAAAATCTAGGAAAGGTCAACAATATTTTCCATGCATTTAAGCATCTATATCTGGCACGGATGATCAGCTGAATACCCAAATAGCAATTTGGCCATTGACCCAATTCTCAAAGACGTTTCTTCTTTTCAGATCTCCTGTTGAAACGACTTGCTCAAGCTACTATCAGTGCAATTCAGACTAAGTAGCTAATGTGGTCCTGTGGCACTATCAGTATAAAAATAATTTTGTGCACGTGGTATTTGTGCAAGAACACCATTATTTTTGCACAGTGTGTTTGCTTAAATAAAAGCAGCATGTTTCTGATCTGCCAATTATCTCCTGCAAATTTAAAACAACAATCCCCTTCCCTTGCATGATTTCATTTGTAGAGAACTACAGAGATGGTCTTGGACAAAGAATGTGGCAGCCTTTAGCAAAACATGAATGTATTACTGTATTATTATGGTTGCTTGCACAGTCAGCCAAATGTTTAGACTGGCATTTTTGTCCACCTAATGAGTCCTTCCCAAGGACCTGGGATAGGCAAATGTTGTTTAATAATTAAAGGTATTGTCATGGATGTAAGATGCCTTTTGCAATTGACTGGTGGTGATTTTGTCAATGCTGATCATGTTCAAGTGACGCTCCAAATGTTTTAGAAAATTGGACCCAAGGGGCCTATTACGTACTATGGGTACTACTGTTGTTTTCTTTTGCCAGAGTTGCTCTACTTGTATTTACAGGTCTTTGTAGTTTGTGCTTTTCTTCAGTTGTTTCTTTTATTCTGCTTTTGTCTCCAGGTACTGCCATGTTGACTAACCAGACTTTTTTGTCTTTCTTATCAACCGTTGTTAAATCTGGGGTAGGCTTGTCTGTTTGAATTTCAGACAATTTTCCAGAGCACATTAGCTTCTTCATTTTCTATTATTTTGTCTATTTTGTGGTTCCACCAGTTCTTGCTTGCAGCTATCCCAATGCCCCATTATTGCTATTTGTCATGCTGTTGTTTGTAGTCTGCCTGTGCGGTCCTCTTGCAGCAGCTAAGTAGTCCACTGTTTTTTCAGATTCTTGGCAGAGGCATGGTTGGTGTCTGTTGCTGTCTTTTCAATTCTGGTTTTATGTGCAATTGTTCTTAAGATGTGGTTTTGTGCAGCCAGAATTAACCCCTCTGATTCTATTTTCAACTTTCCTGTTCTTAGCTATTACGAGGTCTTGTTATCATCTGCTTGACCTGTTAGGGTTTTTTTTTTCTCTCCACTGGCCATATATTAATTTGCTTCACCATGTTTCTATTCTGTTCTTCATTGGTCTTTCTTATAGACTAGTTCATGCTGGCTCAGGAATTCTGGGAGTTGAAGTCCATGAGTCATAAAAGAGCCAAGGTTGCCTACCCCTGGACTAGTTTGATTTATTTGGTATTCAGTAAGTCTTCGTGGTACATTAACTTCAGTGCATCTTCTTCAGTCTTTCAGATATTCTTCAAATGCTCTTTTTTCTTCTTCAACTCTCTTGTGATCTTTCAACATTCCCCATGCACCTATGCTCCTTGGTAAATAGAATGTCAGTATTGCTAAGCAGATGAAGGCATGATTCACTGTCATTATTTTTCTGGTCTTCCTATCCAAGTTCCTAGCTCAGCTTGCATTCAGTCCACTATTCCAGTTGGGTATCTAATGATTGGAATTGCACAAATATTAATCGCTTTCGTGGCATTTCCACCTCTGAGTTTGGTCTTTAAGATCTTTTTTGCTCTTCTGATGTATCATTACTTTCCTCTTAACTTCAGTGTGCTTGATATTGTCAGTGTGAAGGATGCCCAGGTATTTTGAGACTCTGGAAAGAGTACAGAGAAGAGCAACAAAGATGATTAGGGGACTGGAGGCTAAAGCATATAAGGAACGGTTGCTGGAATTGGGTAGGTCTAGTTTAACGAAGAGAAGGATGAGGGGGGACATGATAGCAGTGTTCCAATATCTCAGGGGCTGCCACAAAGAAGAGGGAGTCAAGCTATTTTCCAAGGTGCCTGAAGGCAGGACAAGAAGCAACGGATGGAAACTAATCAAGGAGAGAAGCAACCTAGAACTAAGGAGAAACTTCCTGACAGTTAGAACAATTAACCAGTGGAACAACCTGCTTCCAGAAGTGGTGAATGCTCCAACACTGGAAGTTTTTAAGAAGAGACTGGACAGCCATTTGTCTGAAATGATATAGGGTTTCCTGCCTGAGCAGGGGGTTGGACTAGATGACCTCCAAGGTCCCTTCCAACTTTATTATTATTATTATTATTATTATTATTATTATTATTATTATTATTATTATTATTATTATTATTATTATTATTATNGTGGCATACTTGTCCAGTCCAAACTCTATTGGACAATATATACAATATAGCTTGGACAGTGTTAAGACAGTGATTCTATTTCAGATGGCATTTTTCCATACAGCTTCAGATCATCCATGTAAAGAAATAAAATAGCTTGACAGATGTTTGATAGTATAGCCTTACTTGTTCAGTATTGTTGACAGAGGAATCAATCAAATGAATATGACAAACCATAGTGGTGAGAGTGAGTCTCTTTAAAAGATTCCTCTCTTGATATTAACCTCTTCCAATCTACCACCATCGATCAGCAACTGTGTCTTCCATTGTTCCATTGATCCTTGCTCAAAGGTTCTGATGTTTTCTATTGTCTCCTTTTTTTTCTAGGCATTTGATTATCATGTGGCAGGGAGTCTAATGCCTTCTTGTAACCAATCCAAGCTAGATTCAAGTTGGTCTTTCTTTTCAAGCAATTTCCAGAATCATCTTGTAATTTAGGAGCTGATCTGTTGTTTCTCTGCTGTTTGAGCAGTTTCCTTTCTGCTCAGGTGGAAAGAGCTGGTTTTCAACTAAATAGTGTGGGACTGTATTAACTACCACAACAGTTAGTAATCTGAAAATTGTTGGTAAGCAGGTAATTGGCCTGTAATTTCCTGGTGCTGCCTCTTTTGCTGGATCTTATGAGATAATTTTTTCCACATGTTAACCAATCTTCAATTTCATCTTCTTGTAGTTAGTTATTAAACTGTTTGCCAATGAGTGGATGTAGTAGACCAGTCAAATGTTTCAACCAAAAACCATACAGTTTATCTTCATCTGATGCTGATCAATCCTCAATCTTCTTTGCCCTTTTGTCCATTATTTCTGTTGCATTACAAATTAATTCATTTTTAGCTTCTTTTTTATTCTTATCCTCCTCCTTTACCCAAAGTGCCTTCTTGCTGTATTTCTTTGGGTGGGGCCATATTTGCACCCAGAACTCCACTGTTTCTTCTTTGTCGGGTGTTGACTGGTTCATTGCTGTCTCTGCATTGATGGATTGATAGAAGTGTTTCTGATTCAACTGAAATTGGAAATTCTACCTATAATGTGCAATTCAAGCTTCATATTTACTGACCTTCTCAGCTATAGCTGTTGTTTGCTGCTTTATTATTTCCAGTGCTTCTTTGATCTTCCTTCTCTCTAGGTGATAGTTCTCAAATCAGGTGACATTATTATTGTTGGACACACAGTTAGTCAGATGTCTGTAGAGATTCTCAGTCATCCAGGTCATGGATGTCCCATAGCTGCTTTTCCAAAAGGCAACTGGACTGTCTTGTTTTTCCTTGAAAACATTTCGCTCCTCATCCAAGAAGCTTCTTCAGTTCTGAAATTCTGAAGAAGCTTCTTGGATGAGAAGCGAAACAGTAGTAACTGTGAGAGGGACCTCAGACTCCTAGTGGACAATCACTTAAATATGAGCCAGCAGTGTGCTGCAGCTGCCAAAAAAGCCAGCACAGTGCTAGGCTGCTAGAGATAGAATCAAGATCACGTGAAGTATTAATACCACTTTACAAGGCCTTGGTAAGGCTACACTTGGAATACTGCATCCAGTTTTGGTCACCACAATGTAAAAAAGATGTTGAGACTATAGAAAGAGTACAGAGAAGAGCAACAAAGATGATTAGGGGACTGGAGGCTAAAGCATATAAGGAACGGCTGCTGGAACTGAGTATGTCCAGTTTAATGAAGAGAAGGACGAGGGGGGACATGATAGCAGTATTCCAGTATCTCAGGGGCTGCCACAAAGAAGAGGGAGTCAAGCTATTTTCCAAGGCGCCTGAAGGCAGGATAAGAAGCAAAGGATGGAAACTAATCAAGGAGAGAAGCAACCTAGAACTAAGGAGAAACTTCCTGACAGTTAGAACAATTAACCAGTGGAACAACCTGCCTCCAGAAGTGGTGAATGCTCCAACACTGGAAGTTTTTAAGAAGAGACTGGACAGCCATCTGTCTGAAATGGTATAGGGTTTCCTGCCTGAGCAGGGGGTTGGATTAGATGACCTCCAAGGTCCCTTCCAACTT